GAAATAACTACAGCCAATGGTAGATCACGACGAGGATTATGCATTTCTTCAATCATACAATTTAAATGTTTCCAACCAGAATATGCAAATAATCCAACATAAAATGCTTTAGTCAGTGCACCTGGACTCCAATCGGAATTTTCGAATGCACCAACAAGTCCGTCAACTTTACCTATCATAGAATAAGAAAGAGAGAGAATATTGTTTTCGTGATATAATGCTGGCTGAATTTATGGTGATATTGAAAGAGTTCATCATTACACTCTTCGTGTGAATAATATAAGAGTTGATCACAAAAAATAATTGTTTTTATAAGCATGTTCTTCAAGTTTGCAGATTTAATTCACTAACAAAAGCATTTCTGCATAAAAAATTCAATTACATTGGAAAGTTTTTGAGCAATAAACGTTACAATACTCAGTATTCATTACACAGGACGAGAGTACTGTTACGCTTATTCTATTCTATTCAGCGGAGCTCTTAAGTGTTTTCTCCAGCATGAAACACATTTACAAAGGTATCAAAGAAAAACTGCCCCCGTTTTTAGACGCCTTAAATGTACATTTTTTTCAGTTTACTAGTTCTTATGGAGCAGATTATATTTGACATACAAGCAGGTACTTGACAGAAACAAATCCTAAGCACTACCCCATTGTGATTTGCTTGAGAGGAACCATTCAACATGTCACCATCTAAATCGCTAGAAAAGTAAGAAGAACTAGCTGAAAAATGTTTTTGGAAAAGAAATCAAAAGTTTTTGGCAATACACTCAATCCTTGTATACATAACTGTCACATTCAACCTCCTATTTTTTTTTCAATAGTCAAAAGAATCTTTAGAATTTTACAAATTACAAGTACTCATTATTATTATAACTCGTCAACTAATGCATCTGTTCTTTCTTTATCTGAATTATTAGGAATCATTATTTCTTATCACTTATTTTTTAAAATAACTAATTACATAAGTTGTAATTACTTTACTAAATGAAGCAACATGCTCGTTTCTTTTGGGTTACATTTAAAAATAATAATAATAACTATTATTATTATTCTACTGAAGTATACATGTAATCGTTTGATAATGTTGACTATGTTACGCAATGCTAATTTACTATTGTTGACTTTCACTTGAAACAATTTGATTACGCAATAGTAATGTTGAAAAAATTCTCTTCTATTTTATTATAGACTATCATTTGAAAGAAAAGTTTGTCTTCGCTAAAACATTTTCTTTAAAAAAATAAAACGAAAAGTGACTAATATAAGTGGAAGTATTTAGAAATATACTGAACCAGAATGGAAGTCATCAACATTGTAGATTGAGGTTTATCTTACATTGATTGGTATTAGGAAGGATAGTAAAATAGTACTAGCTAAAGAAAGGCAAGTCAATTGATGAAGTAGTGAATTTTCGTCATTTGAGGTGGTTGTGACACATGTTACGTATGCTTAACCACAGACTACCCTGACGAGCGATGTCTTGTGGTGTAGGGGTAGGTTAGAAGGAAGTTTGAGGTAGCTAAACCAAAACATGAAACAAATCAATGAAGTCATTGACAAGTGGAATTAGTCATGTTGGTAGATGTAAACTACAAGATGGGGATCTGCATGAGAATGATAACCGATAGTTAGAGACCCTGAATATATACACACATATATGCATAAAAACGAAATTGTCATAAAATCAACTTACCAAAACCAATTTGTACAAATCCAGTAATAATAATCATCACCAAAGCAGCTACTTTAGCATAAGTGAATATATCTTGAACAAATGTTGACAATCTTACAGAGTAAGCATTGATAAAAGTTATTAAAACTGGATAAGAAAAAAAATAATAGATAGTATGGTTGTATTATTAAAATTTCAGGATAAAAAAAAATATATTATTACTATTTCTAAATAGAAATCCAAGTGTATTCTATGACTGATATCAAAAAAGAAATGTAACGTTAGAAACATTTTAGTGTAAATTCTCTGTTAGTACAAAAATATACACTAACAGATTAAATTCTGTTAACCTGTTAACTAATCTATTTTCAGTACTTTAATCTCAACAGATTGCCAGGTTCAAATCATATGAGGTACAGGAGTCGTGGATGCTCACTGCTGATGTGTCCCATGCTGGGACGAAACAGCTATCTAGTGCTTCTAGGTCTCGAGTAGTGATCTAACATTGAATGATTCAGTTAACGCCTACTATTTCTAAAATAATAAACTATAGAACTCTAAGCATATATTTCTACTAAACACAAGGTTATTTAAAACCTAACTAACTAAGAAAGTAACTTACGAATACATGCTGCAGCTAAAAGACGTACAGCAATTTCAGGTTGACTACAATCAGGAAATATTGGTTGTGCAATATATTTTCCAAATGTTATTGCCATTATTGCAACAGATGCAGGTCTAGCAACAACCACTTCAGTCCATAAACGAAGAAAACCAAGTAGGGGACCAAACGCTTCATACATATAAATATAATCACCACCAGATCGCTGGATCATAGTTCCTAATTCAGCATAACAATATGCTCCGAACATACTGAAAATTCCACAAGCCACCCATATAATCAGACTTGCTCCAATACTATGAACATTTTTCATAATACCAGTTGGACTGATAAATATTCCAGAACCAATTACACAACCAACAATGATTGTTATACTATTTGTAAGTCCAATTGTCTTTTTTAATCGTACCACTGGTTTCTGTTCATGCTGTTCATGTTTATTGGCCATTTTGTCAAGTTCATACATTTCTTCCATTATACTACTACTGGTGGTTGGATTTAAAAAAATTAAAAGGAAAAATCGAACTTTGATATGAATCAGCATGTTACTGTTAGCTTGAAAAAACTCTATGAACTATGTTTAACGATAAAGTTTCACAATGAATAAAACTTTTCAGTATGATTATAAGAAAAAGTCATATTATCCTTATCCAGTACAGTATCTCCCCAGAACAACCTCATCAATCCTCATTGACGACGAGTTAAAAATGAACGCGTTATACAGCATGAAGGTGATTAAAATTGAACAGACCGCTATTTTCCGAAGTAAAGGGGGATTTCCAGTAATTTTGAAACATCAAGAAATTATTGTATTTAGTGTTATTATTAGTACTCGATTTTAATCGTACTGAGAACATTAATTTTGGGGAGTTAATGCATCCATTTTAAACAGAAGGAAGTATGCTGTAGCCTTACCTGTTAGTTCATTTAAAAATATCGAATTACTGTAAATAACTACTCACTCTTAAATACATACAACATTAGGTACAGCTAGTTTCATTGACTGATCGCTGACAAAAAATATGTAAATCCGGAAAACTAATATCTAGTGTGGTATTGTGGTAAACCTGAAGGAAAAAAGTACTCTTTTATTTATATTTAACTGAATAATTTGAAATGTATATAAGCTTTTAGATCAAAACTCAGCGAATAGTATTCATGTCAACCTAATTCACTTTATCATTGTGATGTGTAGATCTACCTTAGTAAAAGTAATTCTTCTAATAATTAAGAACTATTCCAGAGTGAGAGATTTCGAAAGGGAAGTACACCTCTTACCATTTCGGCATACTAAAAACTGGACAAAGTTGGGAAGCATAAAAGCTTGTATCTGATAGAAGAAAAAATTACAAACTTTTCACACAGTAATTCAGTCTTATGCGCTGAAAACAGTATATTTCAAAGGTAAAGAAGAATAACCTTTGTTCTAAACGGACAAATGTAGGACAGTAAGCTTAGAGATTCAGGCAGCCTGAATACTTGTATCAGCCTGTGTCATGAAAAGATAATAGTGTCACAACATTCAAGCTCGAAAATATAAAAACTTTCAGTCGAAAATCCGTTGGTAAAAAACTTGGACTATGGACTACCTGATAGAAAATCTGATCTCGCGAATACTGATGGCGCGCGGAGGAATGATCGTAAGTACACACTTTTCATGAGTGCGACAAAACAAATAATATTTGTTCAATAAACATCTTTTCACATTAGCGAACATAAATACAATATTTAAGAGCATAAATGAAGTGACCCTCATTGACTGTCTAGGAATTATAAACCGGAATTTCCTTTCAATACCAGCTTTAAGTATGAATGGTGGGAATCTAACTTCAAAAAATTAGGACAGTATATAACAATGAATTTTAGTTCTTGAGATTCCAACTTCCTAATGTAAACGAGACAGGCTATTTGTTCCCTAACATTTCCATCTAATACGAGAAGGGACGTTTCCATCGAGGAACAGTAACGTTTTCTAGAATTAGAATAAAATGCCATGTACTATTATGTGAGTAATCAAGAAGTAAAACCGAGGTTGTCGTATTTCGATACCTACGTGACTAAAGTAAACAATTATTCCGTTTAATATGACTGGGTCAATGGAAAACTGAATGTGTCGTGGAGCAAGCATAACAATAAAATAAATTTCCGCTAAAGAACTTTGAAAATGTCGTTACTATAGAAGTAGGTAATGCTTTTTAGGTAACTGGCTACGTTTATACTCAACTCTGAGAATTTAGTATTTACCGTCAAAATTCGGAACTGCGGTAGTGTAAGGATGTTGCTGAAATCCGTCGCTAGAAACTCCTGTTCTCTGTAGGACATCTGTAGTAAACGATCAGAAGCACGGAAAAACGTGACAGTCTGCAACTAAGTTTTTCATAAATATATTTACTGGATAATATTTTCTTAATGATTAAAAACATCAGCAATTCTTGAAAACTTTTGTGCGCATAAGAATACACACTAGTCTTCGGAATTATCGCATGATAGTGAGTGCTTCATAAGCTGCGTAATGTGAATAATCGATACTCTGAATACTTTCCATCATCATTATTTTTACTTCGTACACTAATTTATGATTCTGTTTTGACCGTAGAATTAGTTGACAGTTTCTCAAACGCGATTTGATAACATGCAAATATTGTTAATCACTGTTTCGTATTATGACGGTTCCAAAGAATTATGAAATTTGATCTGTATAGACAGTTAGATAAGAGAAAATGTATTGGACGTTTCACATAGCTGGCGATTTTCTTCGTTTCATTAAAACTTGTGATTCAGCATACCAACACTTGCATACCAGCAACTGTAGTTTCCAATGGATTTACAAATCCCTGACATGCATTCTGCAACATATTCCACGCTAATCTACCCTACCGTTTTTCAGTCTATTCATGACTGCTCGCGATTCTCGGTGTGATGTGTTTGTTAGTTTTCAACTTTTCACTCTGCCTTGAGGACTGCAAGTGAGGGCTTGACTTGTAACGCAGTTATGTGCTTTCCTCAATGTATATCCCATCTTATTCTAATGAGTCTCCCTGATTTCTTCGGGCGAAATCTGGTTTATTCTCTCCCACAGTAGGTTGTTGCTGATAGTATGCTGCCGACGCACCTTCAGTATCATCGTTAGAGAAATATTAATAAACAGTTTTAATTAATGATGGCTTTCTCGGTTTCCACCCCATCAAATATAACTGTCTTACATTTGAATTAAAATTTGGGAATTTTTGCAGCCTCTCATAGCTCTCCTGAAGCTACTCTTATTTCTCTGACAGGCGTTCAATTATATTCACTGATTCCAAGCACCACCAAATTGTATCTTTTCCTTATTTCAGCAGCTCCGAATAGTCTTCCAGTCTCTCACATTTTTCGAAAACTCAATATGCCTAATATAAAGGTTGCTCTAACTATCAGAAGGGGCATCGGACTCGTGACATACGAAGGAACTAGGTTTTATCAACAGATTTCACATCTCTTCTAAATAAAGACACTTTAACATTCAGGGAAAAGTTATATCGGTTTGAATGGGTTATTCTGGTTATCAATTTTCAGAGATTTAGTTTTTTAAGGGATGTGGTCGCTAACCCCATACGCAACCTTTTAACATTATCCAGGATATAACCGTCATTGATGCCAGAGAGGCTCCAGGTAGAAATATAGTTTACTGAGATGTTGTAAAACTGACCACAGATTACTTAAGATCCACGTAGAAGCGATAGCAGATGATTCAGCGTTTGGATTTTTGAAAAGGTTTTTATTCAGTAATACATGGAATTCAATCATTTTAGTTCAGTCGGCTGAAATGAAGTATAGATCGAAATAATGTCATCGATACAAGATATGCAAGACTGTAAATCTGGAAGGAGGATTTATAAACTCGAAGTCAGATGCAACATAGAACTTCGTACGTGCGTACATCAGTTCATGCTGACATACCACATCAGCACAGTGAGATGTAACTGTCGATCCAAATCCAATAGTAGAAAGAGTAGTAAAGGTATTAGAAGTAATCGGAGATTAGGATTACAAGATATTATTCAAGAAGTATGATTCAGCACACAAAGCATAAATACACCAGCGCCATTGCGAACGATTTTGAGCCATCCCGATCAAGGTTACTAACTATCGATTATTATCATCTCGCTGACCTCAACCTGGTTGTCGACAATCACCTACATGGCTCAGTCCACTCGTCAATGACTTCATGAATTTGTGACATGTTCCGGTCTGGCCGTCCCTAACTTTCTTCCAACCTACTCCTATACTGCAAAACAAAGCTCGTCGAGGCAGTCGGTGGTTGGGCATACGCAACACATGTCCCATCCACCTCAACTGATGAAGTTTCACCACTTCGAAGACACCTATGATCGAAAACCAATAACCGACGAGTATCTTCCACTCTCATTGGCTATGTTTCACAGCCATAAAGTAAGACGGAGTGAACCACTGCGCAGAACACTCGTCCTTTGATTAGAGAACGGATATCACGCCTAAGCCATAAATGAAGCAGGTTGGCAAAAGCTAATCGAGCCTTCTGTATCCGAGCTGAGATTTCATCAGTCACCAGCCCATCGGCACTGATGAGACTCCCAAGATAAGTGAAGCGGTCTACACGTTCGACTACTTCACTCCCTATCATTAGATCAGGTGCCGATGAAACCCAATCTTGAAGCAAGATTTTGCAATTCGACGGGGAAAACCGCATCCCGAACATGCTTGCATTGTTGCTTAGGATGGTCGGAAGACTCTGCATTTTGTCAGCGTCTTCACCAAGTCGAACTATGTCATCGGCATTTTAGATACTTTATTAGTTAAACTTATTCCCCTGTGATTGTTACAAGAAGTCTTCTGTCCTTTCTTATAGATTGGGACAATCAGTGATTGAGACCAGTCGGATGGGATTACGTCCAGTTCCCAGATCCTACCTCAGATCTCAGTCAACCTAGTTGCTAAAACTGGACCACCATCCTTAATTATCTCAGGGGTCAGTCTATCAGGAACCGCAGCTCGCCCTCGCTTCAGATTTCCTAACGCATTTTCAATTTCATTAAGACTAGGGGGGTTACGTCGATTTGCCACTCAGGATGACTGAAGATCGTGGGTAACCGAAGAGTGGCTCGAGGCCAGTTGAACTGATCCTTAAAGTGTTATGCGATCGATCCAATCTCCTGGATTCAAAATGAATGGTACAGCCATCCATTTTCTGAGATAGTCCCACTCACATTTGGGTTCCTAATACCAATTTCCTTGATGAGTCTAAATAGTTGCCTACTTTTGCCTATCGCCACTGCCTTTTCCATCGCTTTTACTATCGTCACCCACCACTGTTCACGGTCGTTACGTAGTTTTTTTTATCAGCCTGCGCCTAAGCTGACTCCGCTCGACATCGCACTCAGAGCGAGGTAGGATGTGTTTTCCAGCATCTATCAGTTCGGTAGATGTGACTGAGATCCAAGGCCTCATTCTAGCACTATAGTCTACCCTACTAGCAGATATCACTGCCATTTGCACAGCCTTTTTGACATCATTCCAACCTGCTTCCGGATGAGAATCGCTGACATTGTCGCCTAACTCTCTTTCTAGTTCCTCTTGAAATATATTCTTATCGAAATTCAGTATCAACCTACTACTGCTTTCGGACAAGCTGACGCTTTGTCTAGACTCATTGGTTCTCAAGCGAATCAGGAAGAAGATACTTTGGTGGCAGCGATTGAGTCAGAATTACATCGAGTATTGGAATAAGCAGTTGATGGTCTACCAGTTACATTCCGCCGGCGCGATTCACTCACTATTATCGATTCATGCATTATTTTTGGTGACCGAATTATTATTACAGAATTATTGCGACATAAAACCCTCAAGCAATTTCACAGTGGTCACCCTGGAATAAACAAGATGAAATCATTGGCGCGCAGCTACGCCTACTGGCCCTCGATGAATATGGATAAAGAAACCAAATGCACAAAATGCCTTTCATGCTTACAAGCCGCAGAAGACCCTTAGAAATGCGGGGCTCAAAAATGGCAGAAACCCACTGGACCTTGGGAGAGAATTCATGCAGATTTCTCGGCCCCTACCCAAGGTAAAATGTTTTAAATTATTGTAGATGCACAAACGAAATGGCCAAAAATATACAGCATGCCGAACTGCACAGCCTCGGATAGTAATCAGCTGTCTACCTTATTTAGTTGTTTCGAAGTGCCAGAAACCTTGATAACTGATAATGCATCGCAATTTGTTGCGTACTCATTCAAGCGATACTGTATTTCAAACGGCATAGCGCACCTACGGTCTCCACTTCACCATCCCCAATCCAATCGACAAGCAGAACGCTTCGCTGACATCTTCAAAAGAGCTTGACTGGAAACAGGAGCTTTCGGAAGCTGTGTCAGGCACACGAACCAACTGCGAAAGAATGTTACGCTCGAGTGATAATCGCGTAAATCTACCGCTGGAGTTGATCACAGAACCGACAACTACACATTAGTCCGGGAATACGGAAGAAAAGAGAAGGTCGGAGACACTAACTAGAAAAACTACAAACAGAATGGAACGCCGCCGCAACCCAGTCGTAAGACTACAAGTGGACCCAAGAAAAAAATCTAATTCCACGGAGGTGTTGGGGTAGCCATCGAGAAGCCACCCACGCAC